CTGGGTTTCAGTTTTCTCATCTGTAATATTAGGATAATATCACTGGGTGTATTGTTTTTAAAACAGTAATCTTAGCTGCATTGATTTATTGTCATATATAGGTAAGTGTTTAATAATGTGAATTAATGAGCTATTTACCTAGGTCATAGACTATTTTATAAAAGAGTAGGTTTTGTTCCATTTGATGACAGATAAGCAAATTAGTAAAAATATCTTTCCAAATAGGGGTCTTGCTGAGATGATGATTTTAAAACTATGTAAGACTCTTGGAATCATCAATCTATTTATATACAGAGGATATACTGACGGTGTGGTATAGAGAGGCAGAATATGCAGTGTGCTTGTTGGAGTAAGACAAATTTGGATTTGTAGACGATCCAACACTTGGGTTACCTTGGGCAGGGTACTTTACTTTTTGATTCAAATTTTCATCTGTAAAATGGGTAATAAAAGTATAAAAATGATAAAGGGTAAAAAAGAATAATAAAAAGGTTGTTGTAAATATGTAAGAGATGATGTATGCAAAATACTAAATACCTGAATCCACACATACTGGTAGCTGTTGTTGTGATCTTGGACAGGGGTCTTCCCCTCTTTCCACCTCAGGTTTCCTCATCGGTAGCATAAATATGTCAGAGAACTAATAGAATTATTATGAGAATTAAATAAGATAATTCATGTAACTGCTTATTAAATATTAATTTCTGTTGTTACTTGTATTATTAATTCAGTTCAGAATAAATTGAACCAATTTTGGATTAAAATGAATTTTACAGCTATTTAATATATTTCTTATGTTGGGGGATATTTAGTATGGATTTGGGGATGGCAACTTGTTCATAGCTTTCAGTGTTTTCTTAAGACAGTAGTTCTCAAACTGTATACAGCCCTGTGGAGGTCCCTGAGACCCTTTCAGGGGATCTATCACTATTTTCATAGTGATACTAACTCTGCCTTTTCCACTGTTTTGACATTGGTCCTGATGGTAGTACAGCAATGGTGGGTAAAACGATGGGCATTTTAGTAGATATTAAATGACATTAGCACCAAAGTGTATTAGTATTCATTGTATTCTTCGCTGCCATGCCTTCAGTTTTTAAAAAAGTGAATTTTACTTAATACCATTGATGAAGCAGTACAAATTATTAATTTCATTAAGTTTGATCATTGAGTACACTTTATTTTAATATTCTTTGTGATGAGATAGGAAATATGCAAAAAGCACTTCTGCATATCTTGAATACATTGGTTTTCTCAAGGAAAACTCTGATGTGATTTTTTGAGTTGCTAGCTGAACTAGCCATATTTTGTATGAAACATCATTTTTACCTGAAAGAATGACTGCCAGGCTAAATGATTATTTAGACCTAGATATTTGGCAGTCATTTTCTTGAAAATGAACAAAGTGAGCTTGTCACTTCAGAGAAAACAATAATATTTGTTGCCAATGATAAAATTTGTGCTTTCAAATTAACTTGTTTCACCTGCTGTGCTCTTGTCAACTTTCCAGTACATAAAGATTTTTCTGATGGGGTGGATAGTGATATTAATGAATATGAGTTTTTGCTATGAAATAAATATGTCACGATTTGGAATATCTTTATAACTTAATGAACCAATATTTTCAAAGTATTCAGTGTTAAAAAATTATGGGTAAAACATCCTTATAAAAAGCAAGTAACGGCCTGGCCGATGTGGCTCCGTGGTTGAACGTTGACCCAGAAACCAAGAGGTCACAGTTGGATTCCTGGTCAGGGCAAGCACTTGCCTGGGTTGTGGGCTCTATTCCTG